TCTTTCACACAGTAAATAGATGTAATAGTACCCAGAATGATCATCAATAAAGGTAATAAAGTATTTATCACCGCCCTAAGACGGAACATCCTAAAAAAGACCACAGATATCTGTATGTATTAAATCAAGTAATCATGAGCTTCTTGTGGCTGAGTGCACTGATACATGTCTGACTTGCTTTACCTTTATGCAATCGACACATGCACCATTCCCGTCAGTAAAATCCAATTGAGACAAAATTCCAACTTTAATAAGTCTCAATATCCTTTCTTTGGATATCTAACTAAACCTTTTATGCCACAAGTTAGCTGAAGATTCATTTTGGCGCACTCCTTTTAACACAAACATCACATTAAACAAGGAATTAACAAAGACATCATTAAGATTGAAACAGTATAGTGTATCAAACAAAACACCAGAACCATAAAGGGTTTTGTTGATACGAACATTTGTCTCCAATCTTAAAGTAAAAACCCAATGTTTTCAACCTAGTTGTTGAAACAAGATTTCTAGAACGATTTGGAACATACAGACAATTCTCAAGATCAAGGCAAAAACTTGTATCCAGCTTAATTCTGTAAGTTCCAATACCTTCAATTCTAACTTTCATCATGTTTCCCATGAAAAGACACTTTTCATTTTCCCTATGAGGTTGAAACATAAAAAATCTTGCTTAATGTTATAAACATGTGTTGTAGCACCAGTGTCTAACCACCAAGTATTAGAAGGAACCTTAACAAAATTGGATTCCAAGCATACTGAAACTGAATGTATACTTTTATTTCCATCCAAGCTTTCCTCTTCAGGCATTCAGCCTTCTTGTGCCCAGGTTTGTTACAGAATAGCATTTCTGCACTTCCTGAACATCACCTTGCACCTTCATATTATGCTTGCCCTTCTTTACTACTTTTAGATTTACTGCTATTATTACTGACATCATAACTGTCACTATTATAGCGTGATACGATAGTGTTCACTGCAAATATTTATCTCACAAATCAATTGCTTTGAGTAACAAACCTTTATTCAGACTATAATTTATAGACCTTAAGTTTGCATTTAAATCCGCCTTTGGGTCAAATTTAAATACAATGTCAATTTACCGACATGCATCATTCACACATACTTGAATGAGACTATTCATCAAGTTTCAATTTAATATATAGGCCATCTTTGGACATGCACTACATATTAACAAAACAAGAATCATAATCTCCTAAATTGTCATTAATCACATGTCTGATCTACCTTTGGCCAACCGCTAGAACCATGTGTTAATGATCACAAATGTTTATCAATCATTTAGTGTCATTCAATGATGCAAAATACCTGTGTACGATAAACATTTGTAAACATAAATAATTATTTAGCTATTTCCTTGAATGGGCCACTTTGGTGACTAACGCACTCGCCTTATGCTAATAATTTATTTATGTGAATAAACCTTAATTTATGTTGTAACATAAACATAAATGATTATTTAGCTATTACCATGAGTGGGCCGCTTTAGCGACTTACACACTCGCCTTATGCTAATAACTCATTTATGTAAGTAAACCTAAATTTATATATATGCTGTAAACATGAACATAAATGATTATTAGCTATTACCTTGAGTGGGCTGCTTTGGCGACTAACGCACTCGCTTTATGCTAATAACTCATTTATAAACATATATATAAACTGATAGTGGATATAACCTCCAATCATAATTGTTCCCAAATGAGCCCATAATTTAAAGCAAGTCATTAATGCCTTAAATAAATCAAACGGCTCAAATATAAACCCAAATTAAATGAGCCTAGAATTTAAAGCAAATCCATAATACTTTAAATAACCCAAATAGACTCAAATATAAACACAAATTAAATGAGCCTAAAATTTAAAGTGACTCCATAATACTTTAAATAAACCCAAATAGACTCAATTTAATTGGCCAAACAAAATAAACCTTAATTTATATGTCGTTCTCTTATAACATATAATTCATGATTTGATAGAGACAAACCATATAACATATGAATCATATACCGTACGAACACAGTACAACTAACTTGGTTCCATATGATTCAATTCCAAAACATATATACATTACAGTATATACATACATGTATAACATATGTTGGTTCCATTGAAAACAGTACGCACATACAGAAACATGCGAATCAAAATGTACAAATCACTTTAATATATAGCTAGCGCTGAACACTGTATACATATAACATATATGCTTGTTTTTCAAACAACAGTATGTATAACCAGGCAACATATTTGAATCCAAGAAATTCAATTTCTATATGCAAATCAATTTCATATATATGTTTGTTGTGTGCATATGACGGTACTGGATGTATATGCGCGTGATATGAACATATTGTACGAAATCAATGAAACCTTATAATTTCGTACAATTGATCCATTCAACCAACAAATCCATAATTAATTAAAAAATCCCCAAATATCATGAACCCTAATTTTAGTGATTAATCAATTTACAAGCAGGCTCTGATACCAAATGTTAAATAATCCTTTATGCGCTATAACTTAAATGCGGAAGCACAATTAACAATGATCGCATGTAAATCAAATCAATCAACTAAACAATGTTCATGATCATGGTCTTTTAATTAAATAGGAAAGATAGGACTTACTTGGTTCCATTGAAGATGTAATCTCTAAATTGAATGAATCAAGAATATAATGCTTCACCTCTCTGATCCGTATACCTTATTCACCTCCTGATGATACGGAGACTAGAAAACTTAGAGATTTGAAACCGTTTTGATCCCTAGAGTTTTCCCGGGTATTTATAGATGTGATGAGAAACCCTCTTTCAAGAGGAATGGGGAACCTCCTTTAGGAATAGAAATCCCTTTAGGAATGTGACCTCCTTTTAGGAATAGAAATCCCTTTAGGATTGTGAAACCCATAACCTTATCCATTATACATCTTTTAACCCTTATAAACTTAAATTTTAACAGAATGAGAGGGAGGGAATTTCACCCAGTAATTCCGCCTTTACACATCACTAATCATCAACGTGAGTACCTTATGGAATTACAACCTTTATTATATAAATCATTGTTAGGAAATAATTATTTCTAACATAAACATCCAAAGGTATATTTTCACACCATATATCTTAGTTAATATACACTACTGTAATTGTGATAGAAATGTGTGATATTTCTAACACAATATTCTTCTTTTGAAACAGACAAATGACATCGTACCTCCAGAATTAGAATCTTGGTTGAACAGTGCATGATGTTTTGGGTTGTCGTTCGGAAAAAAAGATGGTGGATGATGATGATTTTGTGGAGGTACACTTTTCAATTATTTGGTCTCTCTATAGCTTATTGATTTTAAAATACTATGTTTGTTTATTATAAATTTAATATTTGTTTTAGGAATTTGACGAGAGTGATGAAGGTGAAAGCCCTCCTGCGGTTGGTGCTGCTGAATGAGTTCTCATCAACTCAATCTTCAAAGAACAAGGCAGTTGTCAGTGCTAAGCTTGACCGAGTAAAGGGAAAAAATTCAATCTAGAGTGGTTGAGGTGTCTGGGTCAAGTGGACAATGATGGATGTTTGCGTTTGATTTTGTGTCCTTTCTATCCTGGGATGTTATTGACTTACCTATGACGGTTGTGCATTATAACACATATGCTTGCTGAACTCTAGGTTCTAATTTTTGCATAAGGAAAACAATGGACCTATGGATATTCTAGAAGTTTTAAATCAATGCATGTGCATCGATCTTTTCCTTTTAATCTAAGTTTAACTTATCTATGAATGTCAATGTCTAACTTATCCTGAGATGTTATTGCCTTATCAATGAATCTGTTGCTTTTGTTGTGGTTCATGTTTCTCTTGCAGGTCTTTACGCAAGAAAATCACTGATGTACTTGCCCAGAAATTAAACTTGGAGAACATAGTGAAGATGATCATAATCCTCTGTAATTTGGCAATTGAACAGATTTCTTCATGTAAAGATCTAGGGACAATATGTAATTTAGGATGTTTTGTGCCTATATAGGTTAGTGTGATATGCAATTCATGAGCGAGAAAATATACATGTTAGCCAAAAATGTATTCCTAAGGGTTTTCTACTAATAATAATAATACAGTAAGTTTGAATGATTTCTGAAAAAAAAAAAAAGAAATTAAAGGAAATAAATTAAGTGTATAAGCCAACCATGTAAATAGATGAAATCAAGTTGAAAAAAAAAAAGTTACCTGGTATCCATATTTCAAAATTCCTCCACCAAAAATATAAAGATCATTTACCTTAAAAAGTTACCTCGCTTGGTGTATGCAATGGAACTCGGTTGGTTGTTACTACGTTAGCTGATCACATTATTGAAGGCAAAATTACGTCGGCTATTAATGTTGTCATATGCAATGACAATTAACAAAAATCAAGGGCAAACACTTTCACATGTTAGTTTACTGTTGAAGAAGCCTGTTTTTGTCCATGGTCAGTTGTATGTTGCTGCTTCTAGGGTGAGTAATCCAGGCGGATTGAAGATTTTAATTCGTAATGACTCATACAATGTTAGTATGTCAACCATTAACATTGTGTACCATGAAGTGTTTAATAATGTCTAGAATCTAGACATTTAAGTATTATACAATGCAAAGTTGTTTTTAAATCAAGTTTTATTGTTGTTCATATTATTTTCTTTACTACAAATACATTCTCAGTCATCAGGTTATAATAAGTTAGTTAATATTGTGTATTTGAAATGTAAAAAACAAAATTATAAATATCATCCACGGGAAAATACTAGTATAGATATATAGAGATAGAGATATAGATATATAGATATATAGATATAGATAGATATATATATATAGATATAGATTTGTTAGCCAACAAGCTAGATAGGTTTCCTAAGAATCCTTTTCCTAAACAAAAACAATCTCAGATCAGATCTGCTTCAATAAATATGTATAATTCCTTCCAACCGAGTCTTCCGTTTCTATGTCATGAATACAATGTCGAAAGCAATGCGGCGGAGGATATCCGATGCATCACCGTCGCTGCCGGAAGATTTGGTGGCAGAGATCCTGAGCTTGTTGCCGGTGGAATCAGTCCTGAGATTCAAGTGCGTCTGCCAAAAGTGGCGCCAACTCATACAGCAAGATCACTTCATCGAAAAGCATATCCGTCGCGCCGCCATGGGTTGCTACTATCAAAAACAATACATTCAGTTTTGTTCGGAATTCTCCTGTATTGATATGCAGAAAGGGTTACTTTTAGAGCAGGAACATCGTAAAGATCCCACGGGAAGGCTTCGCATAAGGAATCCCGCGACGATGCAAACGGTATACTTGCCGGATCTCCGGGCGACTTGCGTGGTGGCCAAAATGTTCTTCCTGGCAAAAAGTATTAACGAATGCACGGTGATAAGTTTCTCGGAGGAGTTATTGGAAGGATCAGTTTTGTGGGGACGATTTAGAGTAGTAACCGTGGGTGTTGATGCAGCGTGGAGACCTCTCAAGAATTCCCCACCCAACTCCATACACTGCATTAGCAACGGCCGCCGCCAGTGGGCGATGCCGCAGATATTCGCTCTAAGTATTGAAAAGATTTTCCATGTCGTCACCATTGACAGGTACGGCCATGGCGACGACAGGAACATTCTGTCGGTGGACGCAGAGGACGAGAGCATTAAAAGTGTTAAAATCCCAGAAAATCTCTTTAATAATTGGTGGAGTGTGATGCCCGGAGAATGTGATTCAAAGCTGTCTCTTTTCCGCCTTTATGGAAAGGAAATCAAAATCAGGGTTCTTATGAATAGCAACAATAACGAGTGGGCTAATTTTGAAATCCAAACTGTGGATCTTGCAACTACTCTTACACAGGATTATCCAATTTCATACATCACAGTGGAAGAATATATGTGGAGAAAACGACGGGAGGTAAATTGGTGTCGACATAAAAGCATATATGTTCCATGGCGTATGAAGGAGGAACTAAGCATTGAACCCTCAATTTTGCAGATAAAAGGAATGCATTCAGATAATGACAAAGACAGTCACTAATAAGATTAAAAACAACATGAATATGCAATTTGGATTGTCCTTCCAATTCCATGATAGAATAGTCCACTAAAATTATTTAAGGTTAATACGCATATGCAGGCTATTGCTTCAAGTTTAACAGAGCATCTAATAATTTTTTGTATGTCATATAATCTTAGCATGATAATGAAGCTTACCATTGTGCATGTGGAGATCCCCATAAAAAAGAAATGTATGTAATTAAATATAATTGCAAGTTGCAACTATTTTAATGCCTTCAACAATATAATATATACCAAAGATAGAATTAAACAACTTAGCATAGATAATGTATAACAAACACATAATAATAAAACCACTCACCATAGAGATATATATATATACAAAACTTTGAAAACTTAATACTTTAAAACAAAGTATAAAAGATAAAATGGTCAAATAGGCCTTAAACTTTATACACATAACCAAAAAAAACACAAAAAACCAAAAAAAAAAACAAAACAAAACAAAAAAAAAAAAAAACAAAACATATCACTTCTCTATACTTTAAAAAGTAACAATTAAATACTTATCAATGCAATCAAATCCTTTTTATCGGTAATCGATCAATAAATTACGGGTAAAAAAACGATGCCTTATCAATTATTTTTTTTAATTTGTAAAAAATTATTTTTTAACAGCCTTCGCCTACTTGAGGAAGAAAGCAATCGGCAGTGGCATTCTTCCTCAACTCAAAGAAGGCAATTCAATAAACTATTAGTAGTGCACTTTAAAGAATTCTGAAATTAGCTAAGGACCCTAATTTCGGGGGCCTTTCTTATGTTTCCAAACTCCCGTTTGTCGTTCTCGACTTGATCAGGTTTCGGTCGATCGACGTTAACATTGAGAAGAAGTCTGCGCGGGTCCAAACTGGAGCCATGCTAGGGGAATTGTACTATGCCATTGCTAATAAGAGCGAGAATTTGGGTTTTCCGGCCGGGTTTTGTCCCACGGTGGGCACCGGCGGCCACATCAGCGGTGGCGGGTACGGGGCGATGGTGCGAAAATATGGGTTGGCGGCAGACCACGTCATGGACGCCCGAATCGTGGACGAGGATCTCTTCTAGGCTATCAGGGGCGGCGGCGGCGGTGATAACTTCGGCGTCATACTCGCCTGGAAAATGGAACTTGTTCCTGTGCCCAAAAGGCCAAAATCGTCACCGTATTCACCATTCCCAGAACCCTGGAACAAAACATACCTAATGTAATCTATAAATGGCAGCTTTTCGCCAACAAGGCCGACAGAAACCTCCTCATCAGAATCTTGATTGGAAACGTGAACACGAATCAAATGGGGAGAACAATACAGGGTTTGTTCAGTGCACTATACCTCGGAAGATCCAAAACCTTGCTAGCCACAATGCCGAAAGAGTTTCCAGAATTAGGCGTGAAGAAATCCAACTTAACGGAGATGAGTTGGATAAAGTCGGTGTTCTATCACTACGATAACGGCCCCGTCCAGAGCCTACTCAACCAATCGCACCAGTTCAAACGGAGCTACAAGATCAAGTCCGACTACGCCAAACGGCAGTTTACCGAACAAGTTTTTGAAGGGATATTGAAACTATTTAAAGAAGAAGACGACAATGTGCCGCAACTGCAGTTAACCCCGTAGTCCAGTACGGAGGGAGAATGGAGGAGATTCCGCCGTCCACTTCTGTCATTGCGATGGTTCTCACACCGTCCTGAACAGCATATACGTTAATGGCAGCTGAAGGATAAAATTGAGGTAAATTATGTGTAGGTCAGATCGGAGGAAGGAGGACATGGGGGTAACACTAAGTGGGTTGTGAAATTACTAATCTGTCCAAAGTTTTAACACTAGTTAGTGAGAAATTTGACCGGAGGGTTAAATTGACTACAGTTGAAATAGTTGTGGGACTAATTTTGCAAAATTAACAATGAGGGAATACATTGCATATCTGGAAACAATTGAGAGATCAAAAAGTACGATTTTCCCATACAAATTTAAAAAGTTCAAACTCTAGAACGAGGTATAGTTGTTTGTGTTGCACTATTACGGAGTATTTGTTAGGCAGCTAGGTTTCCTAAGAATCATTTTCCTAAACAAAAAAAATCTCAGATCAGATCTGCTTCAATAAATATGTATAATTGCTTCCAATTGCGTCTTCCTTTTGCACTACAATGTCTAAAGCATCCTATGCATCACCGTCGCTGCCGGAAGATTTGGTGGCAGAGATCCTGAGCTGGTTGCCGGTGGAATCAGTACTGAGATTCAAGTGCGTCTGCAAGAAGTGGGGCCAACTCATACAGCAAGATCACTTCGTCAAAAAGCATCTCCACCGCGCCACCATGGGTTGCTAGGATAAAAAAGAATACATAAATCAGTTTTATTCGGGATTCTCGTGTATACAGAAAGGGTTACTGTTAGAGCAGGAGCATCCCACGGAAAGGGGAAGGCGGCTTCGAATAAGGAATCCGGTGACGATGCAAATAGTATACTTGCCGGATCTCCGGGTCGAAGGTGAATCGCCGGCTTGGGTGGTGGCCAGAATGTTCTTGGTCGCAAAAAGTATTAACGAATGCACAGTGAAAAGTTTCTCGGAGTCGAAAGAATCAGTTTTGTCAGGACGATTTAGAGCCGTAACAGTGGGCGTTGATGCAGCATGGAGACCCCTCAACAATTCCCCACCTAACTCCATACACTGCATTATCAATGCCCACCACTGAGCGAGTCCGAAGCCGCAGATATTCGTTTTGAGTACTGAAAAGATTTTCCATGTCGTCATAATAGACGGCCATGGCGGGAGCATTAAAACTCTTAAAATCCCAGAAAATCTCTTCTCAAACTGGAGCGGTGTGATGCCCCGAGAATGGAATTCAAAGCTATCTCTTTTCTGCCATGGTGGAGATCAAATCAACATCTGGATTCTCATGAATGACAACAAGAACCAGTGGGCTAAAATCCAGACTATCCATCTTGCAACTCCTACCCAGGATGCTTATACAACTTCATTCACATTTGGAGTGTACATCGGCAGGAACTAAGCATTAAACCCTCAATTTTGCGGTTAAAAGGAATGCAATTACAGAGGGAAGATCTAAGCCTGGAAGGAAATAGATAAACCAACGATCACCTCGCAAATTATTTCATTAATTTCACCTAGCACTTATGGTTTTTTCCTTTTTAATGTTTATATAGAGTTAATGCATTTTTTGGTCCTAGACTTATTAGAGTTTGGACACTTTTAGTCCACCTTAATAAATTTTGCCATATTTTATTTTAGCCACACTTATTAGATGTTGGACACTTTTAGTCCTCCGTCAGCTTATCCGTAAAATGAAGGACATTTCTGTCATTTCACATGTTCTTTTTCTCAGCCTTCATTTTTTATGCTTTCTAGCTCTCATATTCAACAATCTAAAGAAAAAAGCTCTAATAAAGATTTCAGACCCTGTAATAATGGAGGACGTAGAGTTTCAACCCATGGAAAACGTAGCTCCAAACTGCTCACCACCCTCGGAAAATAGTTTGGATGGGCAGACCTCACCCCAGCAGAAAGAAAACGTTATTGCAACTCCATCTGTAAGGAAGGAAATTTTTCGTACAAGGAAAGACTAAACAAAAATTTGGTCTTTGGCTTCGTCGCTGGTCTCATTAACCTGGCACAATACGAGTCTAATGATGATGATGATGTTGATGTGGTGGGCGAGGATGATGAAGACGTTGATTGCCCAAGTATCTACCTAACAAAAGCAGAAAGAAAAAATCTCTAATTCCTTCCTAAAAACTAAAAAACAAATTTTCATACACATTCATACATTCATTTACGAATTTTCTTATTGAAGTTGATGGTGGCTGACCCCGTGTCTGAGGAAGCTCGACCAGCGGCAAGAACTGTCACTGGAATTTTTGTTCTTTCCAGAAATCGTTTAAGATACATCTCTGCCTGCGCCGGTCGTCTTAGATGATCAATCTGGACAAGAAAAAAAATCAAAATAATGGTAGGAGGCTTCTGGCAACTTTGCGTAATGGAGACCAAAATTCAACAACAAATCAAAATAACAACCAACAACGAAATCAAGCAACGTCGATCAATCCAGATTCAATTGCTGGAGATCAATTTCAAAATGGCACAAAACAGAATCTAGAGGCTAGAACATAGATTGAACAGAATACGCAGTGAATCAATCAATCACTGATGAACAATATGAATGCAGGTTTGCATTAGAGGAAGATGGTTGTAACAATTGATGAGGTGGAGTGGAGAAAATTGGCTAAGATAGATTGAAGAAAAACATACCTTGGTTGGCAATTCCTTGAAGGCGAGACCAACAATGGATACGGTTAGGGCAAAATTATAGGCGTTCTTCCCTCTCTCTTTGGTTCAGCTCACATTGGAGCACTGGATTTGGCGATGGTTTGAAGAATGCGATTGAGCGTGGCTAAAGTCAAGATCGAGATGAAATTGTTGAAGCCTAGATATGATAATTTATGGATTGAAATTGCAAATGGAGAAGGAGAGGCGAAGGTTTTTGGAAAAGGATTGAATACAAGCATGTTCCTTCCTTATGTTATAGGTGATGTACATTTGGGCATAGTTTAGAGGCTTGTTGAAGGCCAAGGAATGCGAGAAATGTATGGGATGGGCCGGCGATGGTGGAGACCGCGGAAGTAGGCGGTGGAGCAAGGGACGACGGAAGTAGGCGGTGGAGCAGGGGACGACGGAAGTAGGCGCTGAGAAAAGCGAAAAAAATAAAGGCCAAGAAGAACCTATGAAATGACACAAACACCCTCCATTCTGACAGTAAACAAACCGATAATCTGACGGAGGGTTAACAGTGTCCAACATCTAATAAGTGTAGCCAAAATGTCGCAAAATTTACTAAGGTGGACTAAGAGTGTCCGACCCCAAATAAGTCTAGGACCAAAAGAGTCATTAACTCGTTTATATATAATAAGACTATCATCAACCCAGCCATGGATCCACTTGCTAAATGATGTGGATTAAAAAATAATTTTTTTTTATGTATATGTGGAATCGTGCCTAGCAAGCTTGCAATTGCAATTGAAATCTATTGCAAGCTTGCTAATGGCAGATTTTGTTGTCAAATGACATCAAAACTGCCCACATGCCTTTCAGGGAAAATGACACTTTTTTTCTTGAATTATGCTTACAATACTTTTCCCCCCTTAGTTATTCATTCTTCCAAAAGGTTGAACCCTTAGTTATTCACGCATCCACATTTGCCCCCTCAATTATTATAAAAGTGGATGGTGGTTTCCCCCCGATATATTAAATAGGCATTTCTACCCTTAAAATAAATATTTTATTTATTTGTCTTCTTCAACAAATTATTACTTATATGTAGGGATGACCACGGTTCGGTTCGTACTGAATCGAACACTATAGCAATCAAATCAAAATATTTTCAGTTATGATTCAGAACATAACCCAATATTTGGGTTTCCATTTATTAAAATCGTGAAGTTGAAAAAATAGATCCCGAACCGTGAACTAAAATTAGAATTATAATATTTACAAATAGTGTATGTTTTTTTTTTTTTTTTCCATTTATACAGACTCTCACATACAGGTAGTTTTTATTTTGAATCGTCGGTTCACGGTTTCGGATCCAATTTGAACTGCTAGTTCAAACTTTCTTTTAAAATTCTATTTTTTTTTAAATATTCTAAATTCAACAATTAATGTATTTTATTTTTTCAAATCGTGATTATAATTTGTTGGAGAAGAAAAATAAATGAAATATTTATTTTAAGGGTAAATATGTCCATTTGATATATTAGGGGGAAAACAGTCAGATCACTTAAATAATTTAGGGGGAAAAAGTGCTATAAGTATATAACACAAGGGGAAAAAGTGTCATTTTCCCTACCTTTTATGTTTTTTTTTTTCGAAAGTTGATTGGATTTAATGTGAATAGTAAATGAATTGCAAATTTAATGATGAGAAAGTAGGACTCACTTTTAAAAGTAAAAAGTATTGTAGCCATAAAGATAATTTAAGATATATTAGAAATTTGATGGTGAACATCACACAGGTGTATAAACACAAGAGCGTTTATGCATAGGTCACATATATACCTTGGGCAGTACACTTTTACTAAATCCTCATCAAATTCAATTCCTCATTTCCTTTCTCCTTTACAGCTTGTTAGACTATCCAATCTAAATTAAAGAAACAATTTACAATGAGAAAATAAAAATGAAAGACACAAGCTAAGGATGAGGGATTTTCTTAAAAGGAATCTATAAAATATAATACAGGACTAAGATCAATATTTCAATATGAAGGAAAGGGTCGGGAATAGGAGATCTGCCTTAGTTTCATGAACATGAATAACAAGGTATGTTATATATTAAATTCAAATTTAGGACATCAATGAAAAAAAAAAAAAAAAAGCATACTGACATGTCACGCGTTGCAATCTGACATTGAAACCGAAAACATAGTTACTACTACTTAACGATCATTTATACATATAACGGTTTTAGTCTTACTTTGGACTATAGTCCAAAACAATGTCATTTCTTTTAATGAAAAGAAATGTCACCCATTTCACGTAATTAATTCTGTTTATATAACATATTCAGTCTCATTTTGTATACATTGTTATTTCATTCCTGCACAACTAATAAAGTTTAATTTTGTTTCAACTACAGTTTCATTCGACATTATACATACAATAGTCTTATATATTACCATGAGGCATGTTATTCAAATTTTATTTTATAAATACTATAGTCTTATTATAACACCACTAAGTGCAATATATACTCAAATATGTGAAACTGTTATATATTCAGTTTCGTTTTATATACACTCTAGTTTCATTACAATACAACTGAAGTATCATTTTGATATAATTACCGTTGCATTTGACAATATACACTCAATATGTGAAACATGTTATTCAGGTTTTTTTTTTTTTTTTTTTTTTTTACCATACTGTAGTTTCATTTCAGCAAAACTAAAAGGAACTAAGCGTTAAACCCACATTTTTGTAGCTAAAAGGAATGCAACCGGACAAGTTTGAAGAAGCAATGGGCGCACGTTTTTGGAAGGAAAGAGATATGTCGAAGACCACCTCCCAAATTATTTCTGTAATTTTGCTTTCGCTCTGACATCTAATGTGAATTTCCTACTTACGAGTTACGACTAACCCTGCAAAGGAAATCACAAAATTTAAATAGATAATTTTTTCAGAGTTTTTTGCAATTTTTATTTTCATATTTTCTTAGGTGACAAGGAAATTTGATTTAAATATTTTACTTCTTAAAGAGCGTTAGCAATGGTTGTTAAATATATTTTTATTCATATAAAAATCTATTTCATATATAAAAATAAACCAAATAAGTGAAGAAATCAAGTGCTGGGGGCTATCAAGATTTCAAACATGTAACCTTATTGCCAAACCAACTCAGGTGGTGTTGCATAGTACAATACAATTTGTTCTCGAATCATGTAACCTTATTGCCAAACCAACTCAGGTGGTGTTGCATAGTACAATACAATCTGTTCTCGAATTATGTAGAATTTTTTTTTTTTTTTTTTTTTTTTGAAAGTTACTGGCTCTATTACATTGTAGTATCTATTCATATACTTTCTCAACCTACGCCTCCATTGAGGCTTGAACTCATAATCTTTCAAATAAAAATTCAACCCGAGTACCATTAGACCACATAGTCCTGGTCAAATTATGTAGAATAATTGAGGTATAATTATATAATAAAGTTGCAGAACAGAGGAACTCTAATAGCAGCACACACAGTAAAGAAAATAATATGTACTCCGTATATTGCTGATGATTATGCTCTATGTCTATCATCCCTACAGAATTAAAAAAATAATAATAAAAATACAAAAAAAAATAATAATAATAAAAATTATAATGATGGTTCAACATGGCAAATTATTGTGTAGACCATGAATATCAGATACATTTTAATATATTAAAAGTACATTATTTTTGTACTGAAGGTACATTATATAAAATAATAAATTTTCAGTACTCAAATATTGTACTTTTTATTTATGGTCTGCAATAATGATTGGTTCAACATCCCCTTAATTCTGATTTGGAAGGGTCATCACGCCAAGTTGATTCCTTAACTTGATGAAAGTTTCGAACTTCACTGATTTCGTTAGAATGTGTGCAGTTTGATCTTCAGTCTTGCAGTACTCTAGTTTGATCACTCCCTTGTTAACTTGATTTCTCAAGAAAATATATTGTATGTCTATGTGTTTGCTCCTTCCGTGAAATACATCATTTTTAGCTAAATTAATATTTGATGCGTTGTCCACATAGATCTTGATTGGACTTTCCTTCTGAAACCCAAGTTGGCTTGTTATGTTGCTAAGCCAAAGTGCTTGGCATGCACTTGATGCATCTGCGATATATGGTACTCCGCTTCCCATGTTGATAATGGAACAATGTGTTGTTTCATTGAGGACCACGAACACAGCTTTTCCAAGCATAAAGTAGTAACCCCTAGTACTCTTCCTTCCCTCCAAGTCTCCACCCAAGTTACTATCAGAATAACCAACTATGTTCAAATATAGTTTTTCAAAATTTTAATTTTATTTTAAACCAATTTTGTTTTAAAAAATTTGAATTGAAAAGTGTTTGTAAATTTTTAATTAATTAGGAAATGACATAAAAATTTATGAAACCCTTTTATTAATTAAGAAAACGGCATAAAACATTTTCAAACGAGTTTGGTGATTAAAAGTGTTCAAAATAAAGAAATATTATTCTTCTGAAGTTCCAGTGTATCATAAGTATCAATACGTACAATCATATATACAAACGAGTTTTTTTTTTTTTTTTTTTTTTTTTTTTTTTTTTTTTTTTTTGCTAGACAAGGTACTATTAACAATATTCGATACAATTAGATATATGAGTGTACTTAATGTTGGTCCCGATAGTGATAAAAGAGAGTCTAGAGGAGGAGTGAATAGACTCTACTCGATTTTGAAACTAACTTCGAAAGAGTTATGCACAGCGGAAAATATATATTCTTTTTAAATGTTTCTTTGCACACTTTTGTTATAGGAAATTATGGTTTGATGAATGCGAATGATATGCAAAGGAGATAAGCTGTAACACCCCTAAATTTTAAAACCTTTAAAGCTTACAAAATACAGGCGAATCTATCATTAATACCCAACAGAGCGGAACTAACAACATAAGTATCAGGGTGCTATGCCACATCCAGGTTTGAGAACCTAGATGCACAGGCTAAACTAACTAAACAAAGCATAATCCACAATTAATATCCAAAATACAAATCAAGGCTCACAGGCCATCTAACTAAGACTAGAGCTAACTAAGCTAAATCCACGAGTCCATCTAGCGTGCTCCGAAGCTACAAGTCAGTACCTGAAAAATATACGGTGTAACATCCGTCAGCGAATAATGCTAGTAACCCACTCCTACGTGTTGAGTACAATATAAGTAGATATAAGAAAATCATTTTGAGACTGAAGAATATGTTAAGGATATGAGTGACTGACCTATTCTTTCTCTGCTCTAATTAAACTCCTGTAGAATAGCTTTATTAGACTAGTAGTTTAACTTCCTACTATTCACTCTCACTTATGTACTTTTATAGCTAGTCATTTTACATCAATAAACACTTGATTCATTCCCTCACATGGTATCAAGAGCCACAATCTCCCAAGAGAATTATTACTTTTTTTCCCCTTTCTTTTTTCTCCACCTCTTGTGACACAGATGGCTTCCCAATCTTCTGCAACCAGCAATGATCTTATCCAGCAAAACGCTCCGTCCAACTTCCCTATTAAACTTACCCCCACTAATTTTCCCATTTGGAAACGCCAAGTTCAGGCGACATTAATTGGTTTCAATCTCCTTGGCTACATCGACGGTTTTGTTAAAGAACCAGCCAAGTTTAACTATGCTGAACAGACCACCCCGAATCCTGCACACTTGACTTGGTTTCGTCAAGACCAGATCATCACTAATGCGCTACTGGGGAGTTGTTCTGACACAATTCAGCCTCTTATTTCTTTCGCACCAACAGCGTGCGATGCTTGGCAACAGCTCGTTGCTAGCTATGCTAGTGCTTCTCGAGGACGGATCATTTCCCTCAAGGCTAAGCTCACCAAAAACCCGAAAGGTGATCGGTCAGTTACTGCTTTCCTGACTGATATGCGGTCTATAGCTGACCATCTCGCCTTGGCTCAGTGCCCAATTTCGGATGAAGACATGGTTGTTTATGTTTTAACGCAACTAGACGACGAGTACATCTCCATCGTTTATGCTTGATGTGAGTCCAATTGTGCATATTTCTAGTATTGATTTAATTATATTTGTTAGGCTTAGGTTCATAATTTTGGTAATTTAATTGTATAATCTTTTGTTTTATCATTTAGTTCTGGTCTACATTTGTTTTGAATGTTTTACGATGTTTGTTAGTGTTTTTGAACCATTGTAGGTCAATTCTAAGTACAAGAGAAGTTTGATGACAAGTTTGGAGTTAAAGTGGACCAAAGAGCGCGTACACAACACGCTCGACGCATCCAAAATTTCCAGATTGCATTATGGCAAAGAGGAGCGAGGTTCGACGCGCTGCTCGACGCGTCGAAGTTGCGGCAACGAAAACGAAAAGGCGCAACGCTTAATTACTAAAATAAAAGGGCGGCAGTTTGTTTAATTGTGCAGCACCAAATTCCAAAAAAAAAAATTCGCTGGTTTCAATAATTTAAAAAAGTGAGGCACTTTCCAAATTAAGAAAGAAGTTTCGGCAATTTCCAAAAGAAAGTGAAGAGAATTCCTATTTCGCCCGGTTTGCAATTTCAATCCAATTTCGCATAAAATTCCTATTACTATTGGGATTGGTTACAACTATAAAAACCCACCTCCTCAATCCTAATATTAATTCAGAGATCTTTCAAAACAAGAAAGAGATAAATCAAAAACCACAAGTTATCTTGGGAAGCAAGAAGAAGACTAGGGAGATTTGAGAGAATCGTCTGCTTTATTATTGTACTCTTTTCATAATTTGTATTACCTTTATTATTATTTGCTATGTATAATTTAGCCATGCTTGGCTAAATTTCATTAGAGATTCTTAGGTAAAAAGTGCTTATGAACCTATATGTCTGTGCTCTCAGATTCTTTAATATATTATTATTTGGGTTTTAAACTTGTGTCGCAATTATGATTATATTGTTTGATGCTTGTAATTAGTGGTCATAGATACTTGTTTCGTTTACTATCTTTGTGTCACAACGAGAGTTGGGCATAACTTAGGGTACACACAATTGCAAATAACTGTTGCACCATGGGAAATGGTAACTTTGTTAGGGAGTTTAATTCTTGATTATTGCATATCGAGAGATGGTAGTAGTTAGGAATTTGTTATGATTAGGGATGTCAATTTAGCCCTGAACTAATGGGCTGACCCAATAAGCCATAAAAATTGCAGGGCTAAATGTATATGTATATATAGTGTCTATAGTGTGTGTTTATATATATATATATATATATATATATATATATATATATATATATATATATATATATATATATAGTTATGAACCTACTCTCCCACCACGAACATGGCTCCTCTACAGACTTTCTCTGAGTACAAGGGTCCCGATGAAACTCGCCTGGGGACGGTAATTCACTAAAAATCTCTCATATTGGTCAGTCTGCTATTCCCACTCCCTCTTCTGTTCTCACTCTCTAAAATGTCCTGCATGTCCTGCAATTGAATAATAATTTATTGTCTGTGTCTCAGTTGTGCAAAACTAATCGCGTGTCGGTTGAATTTTTTGACTCCTATTTTGTCGTGAAGGATCTTCGAACGGGGATGTCACTTCTACGCTCTCGAGTCAGCCTACAATAAATTCCACAGAACTGTCGCATGTGTCGCAGTGACACCATCGTCTTGGCCATCTGTAACACCCCACTTTTCTAACTCTTAATTATCTCTCTAAACAGTCATTAACATAATCTAAGCAGCGGAAAACTAGATAAAAGTAGTGAGGGTGTCACCGCTACAACCACCACTTTTGGTGATTGCACAAGCTAAAGGGTAAAACTATAACATACGATGAAGTCTGGGTACTAAAGTAAATACAGAAAAGTAAGGATGAAAATACGTCACCCCAAAACAGTCTACAAACATCATCATAAAGTATAGGGTCATAGGTCTAAATCCATAAAGACATCATAAATAGAACTAGAGTTTAGACAGCTCAGACTAAGAAACTAATCTAACTCGACTCTTCTCACTGCTGGGCCCACCTGAAAGGGGTTTTGCAAGCAACACATAAACAAAAAGGAAAACACCCATTAACACGAAGCTAAGTATAACCACACTCAACCCTGTAAAACATTCTAGCATACACTTTGAAAACATTTGATATCTTTATAGCAATAAGCTAATCTCAAAACATCTTTAGTTTATCATATTCTTTCTAGAGGCTTGCACCCTATAATATCAGTTGGCCTGCTTATATATGAATAAGATTAATCACGTATATTCATATACATATAGACTTCTCAATTAACTTATCAAGCAATTCAAGCTTACAGATAGGATCATGTTTAAAGATCATATAACAAGTGTTTACATGCTATCACACTCTTATCACATAGCTTATTAAGAAGAACTTCTACTACATCACAATAATCATGCTCAAGGAACCTCTCAAGTTAAACTTCTCATTAAACAAACTTTTACGATGTTCTATTCGCAAACAATCATGTATAACAGTATGATCATGCTTCTCATGCAAACTAGTGCCACAATATGATCATACTCTTATGCAATCTAGTGCGACAATATACTCATATTCATATGCAATCTAGTGTAGTAATACACTCATACTCTTATGCAATCTAGTGCAACAACATACTCATATTCATATGCAATCTCATGCAATAATATACTCATGCTCTTATGCAATCTCGTGCAACAATATACTCATATTCATATGCAATCTCGTGCAACAATATACTCATGTTCATATACAATCTAGTGTAGTAATACACTCATATTCTTATGCAATCTAGTGCAACAATATACTCATATTCATATGAAATCTCGTGTAATAATATACTCATACTCTTATGCAATCTCGTGCAACAATATACTCATATTCATATGCAATCTCGTGCAACAATATACTCATGTTCAAATGCAATCTAGTGCAATAATATAATCATACACTCATATATAAAATAGAGTACTTTCTGTGGAGGTTTCTTTGTTACTTTCTCGAGTCTCTCTTGACTCTCTTTCTTTCTATCGAGTCTATATTAACTCTCATAATCGAGTCTCTGTTGACTCTCTTTCTTTCTCTTATACTCGTAGACGGCTTAGGGTTTCACAGAAGTGTGACTTACCCCATCGGGAACGGCATAATTCCGACCCAATATCTCCTACCGTCTACGGAACCAATCTCGTGGTTCAAACTCTGTGGAATCAGGTATCGAACTATTAGTTTGCACACCCCCTAACGTGGGAATACACCGCGTTACATACTCTGGGACCGCAATGTCCATAATATCTCCCTAGAGGAACATAGTCCAAACGGTATCCTCCAAAACCTAACTGATATAGATAATACATAAATATACCTCTCATGCATCAATCTCATGCATGCAACAATTCTATTATTTCTCAATGCATCAAAGAATGATATACCACATGCTTATGATTTTTGAAAGTATTCTTCGACTCACGTTGGTCCCTTATGCATTTTCGAAATATGCATCATGTGAAATGTCAATATGCTCTATAATATGTTTTTAAATCATTTATACACTAACATGAAGTATTCAAAGATATATCAACATGCTCGGTTTGCAAAATAGCAATTTCTATACATTTCACTCAACAAGTATGCTTCTATTCTCATTGATCAAATAATGCAATTTAGTCATGCTTTCATTATAAATCCAATTCTCAAAGGGACATGCTTCTTTACTCAATAAAATCATTATTTGATCACAAAATCAGCAATTTCTCAAACACATCAAACACAGAGAGTTTAGCAAAATATACCCTGTGTAACATTTCTTCACAAAATCACTCATAGCATACTCGTTTTTAATCTAAATTCAACCAAATCAAAGCCAAAACGTGCGTCAAGACGATCCCGAAGAGCCGAGCCACAAGGGCCTGTAACAATCGGTCTGAAACGACACGTAGCTGAGCCGCAAGGGCCCGACCACTGCACAAAACCTTCACAGTACAAACTCAGGGACCTGGGGCGGGACTCCTCATGGTCTACCCCATGAGCCCCGTTAAAGTACCGAGACTAGGCAACGGCCCTCTCCAAGGGCCGTGCCCTAGTCCCGTGGTGGCACGGCTTTAGCCGGCGGCCCTTCTGATGGGCCGCGGCTAGGGCCGCCACTCTGATCTGGTGCACACTGTGTTGTGCACCAGATAGAGTTCTACCTGCAAAAAACTTGTCCAAACACTTCCAAAACAATTCCAACAAATCAAAAACACATCTTAGATCACTTCCAAACATAAACACATTAAAAACTCATAATTTCTACTCAATACTATGCTTCACAGAGCCAAAACTAGAGAGGAATCCATTGGGTTATACCTCTTGTAGACCTCTTCTTCTTGCTTGGATCTCTTCTTCCTCTTGATCTACCTTGAGCCTCCTTCACCACCTACACTTCCCAACACACCTTCTATCCTTAGCCTATATTCTTAAAGACTAAAGAAAACTAGAAGATAAATGATGCTAGAAAGGAGGATGAACAAGCTTACTACGTTGGAGCTTTTCTCCTTAGATGTTGGCAGACAAATGTGAGGAAGAGGCAATGAAAATGAGATCAGGAAAATGTGATGGAATGAAGGGTTTATATAGGGTTCAAAACCCTAGGATGATTCACAATGATTGGTTGAGGGCAAGGAGGTAATTCTACTAGCTAAAAAGATGACTTTATAAGGGATTTTTGGATATCTTATGGTCCACCATGTATCATGAACCATAGGCTAAAAATGATATTTCTTTATTACTTTGGGGTGGAAAGTGAATTTTCCCAAAAACTATAGGGATGAACACTTGTCCAAAATTCCCTTTTTAATTCTCCCGGTCTCACTCGGGTAAAATTCTCGATTTAAATCTTGGTACCCGAAAACTTTGGAATTTTCGAATGAAATTCATTTCTTTGGTGTTGAATTAATTTTAAAATGAAACAAAAATTATTTTATTCACACACCGATTGCTCGCAAAATTTTGTAATGGAGTGAAAAACTACTTTGGGATTTCTTAACACTGGATTTATAAAAA